TTGATTGTTGTTTTTGACAGATCAGTATATAAGAGCTGTCAACTCTAATGTTGATTTTCTGTTCAGTAGTTGCCTTTGTTGTCAATAAACGGTTCGTGTTACAAGCTGTCTCCTCATTCATGCCGACTCTCGCTGAGTTTATAATAAGTATAGCTTTTTAAAACTTACATACTTATATAAGTACTGGTTACTTATATAAAGTAAAATTAAATTGATGTATAGAAAATGGCTAGAAAACAAGGAATTATCCTTTGCTGGAAAGAAATACTTGTGTATTTTCTGTATTTTTCCTCTTTGTGGGATGATATAGCCATTTCTGCGTTTTTCAAAAGTGCAGTATAATATTTAATATAAATTCCTATTGATCCACTCTCCAGTATAAATGACAGGGATTTTATGTCATCCTGAGTATTGGAAGATTTCCTCTGCCTGTTGAAAAGCTTATTTTGATACAATTTTTTTGTACACCAATGTTCTCTTGATAGAAAGAACAAATAAGAGTTGTATAGGCAGTCAAACCACACTTTGCAGATTTCCCACACAGATAAAATCCAACTGTAGTAGTAGATTATTCATTAATAACCCTTTCAAAGAAAATAAAATAAAGTACAGGTTCTAACTCCAGGGTAAGATAGATAAAAGAAAATAATAAAGTAAAAGTAATAAAATATGTGGTAAATGCAATGAATCAGATAAATACATCACCTTTTCCGGCTAATACCCCAATCTGTCCAATATATGGTTTTTAGCGGGATTACCTTGACTATAAACTTAGTATTTCTGCTCACAGTGTATATGTTACAGCCCAGAAGGAAATAGGGCAATCTGTGATTCAAGTCCCAGTGGGATGTTCTTTCAAGTAGGGCTGTTAAATAGTTAAACCTGAAAGGGACATAGAGTTTATAATCAAACAAACCATTAGCAATAACCTCAATGTTTGGGACATTGTCTATACATTTCCTCTATGGCTTGTGATGCAGATACAATCATTCTGTTATTGTGTCAGACAAAGTAGTATGTTACAAAACTATTGAAGCAATACATTGCATGTGTGCCCATATGTCCTTTCCCATCTTTTGCTCCCTAACATTACAAATTACTTATTTTTTAGGGGAAATGGGAGGTTCCTGTGCCCAAAGTCCGGGCCCAGGGAGAAACAGAAGTGCTCAAAGTGATTCGCACAGGAAAACGAAAGAAGAAAGCTTGGAAAAGAATGGTTACCAAAGTGTGTTTTGTAGGGGACGGCTTTACCAGAAAACCTCCAAAATACGAGCGCTTCATTCGACCAATGGTAAATATTTTTTTGTAGTAGGTTAATAGTTAATTTGCTTTTTCATGCCCAATCTTCAGTAAAGATGCTCCACCCATGTCAGCAGAGGAAGCATGCTGTGAGTCCCATTGGCCAGGGTATTCTGTCTGGTGGGGTCCAGGAGAAGAGCCTTGCACCTGCACTTTGGAACATCTTGCCAGCCAGAGTGAGGTTGGCTCCAACCCATTTTACCTTCCACAAGAGCTTAAAGACCTGGCTCTGCCAATTGGCTTAGAGCTCCAATGGAGGGATTTTACATTGGGGTGGTTGATAGAAGAATAATAGATCCCACCTTCCACCCTGCTTATCCTACTTCCTCCATCCCTATCTTTTAGTTAGAGCTGAGTATTTGTATTTTTATAGTATTTAATTTATATTGTCTATAAATTTTCTATAGTTTTATCTTTTCAATATTGTAAGCCACCCAGAGTTACCCTGTGGTAAAATGGGAAGCCAATAAATAAAATAAATGAGAAAGACATAGTGGTACATTTAATGATCATGAAAAAAGAGGGCAAGCTACCTGGAACTAGTCACAATTGTAGTCCACCAACCTGCTGGGAATCAGAGTCATGAAAGCTCATAAACAGCTGTTAACTTTTCTGGGTTTAAAATTAAGCCCACATATTTAGGATTGGGATTAAAAATAATTGCATGTTGGTTGGAATTCTCTTTTTTCTACTGTTACTTATGAAGAATTTTATTTATTTTGTTGAATAACAGGGTTTGCGATTTAAGAAGGCCCATGTAACACATCCAGAACTTAAAGCCACATTTTGCCTACCGATTCTTGGTGTAAAAAAGAATCCTTCTTCTCCTCTCTATACTTCTTTGGGAGTAATCACAAGAGGTACAGTAATCGAGGTGAATGTGAGTGAGCTTGGTCTCGTCACGCAAGGGGGCAAAGTTATCTGGGGTAAGTAACCAAATACTACTTTTAAGTAATAAGAATTAATAGCAATAGAATTTAGCCTTACAGTAGATACCATCCCATAGTGCTTTACAGCACTCTCTGAGCGATTTATAATGTAAACATTATTTGCATATGGCCCCCCCAACAATCTGGGTCCTCGTTTTACTGACTTCAGAAGGATGAAAGACTTTGGAAACCTTAAGCTGATCTGAATTGGAAATCCTCGCTGTGGGAAGAGTTAGCCTCCATACTGCATTCTAACCATTATACCACAAAGGCTCCTACTAATGCTAACGAAAGAAGCATTTAAGCAATTTAAGCATAATATCTATTATGTCAGAATCGTATGAAATTGCAGGTTTTCAGGATGAAAACTACAGGATATCTAGTCACCTCTAAATGAGATGGGTGGCACACTAATAAGTAAATTAGTATTTCTTGCTTAACAAGATTTTAAAAAATCACAATTTGCTTGGATCTTGATAATCAGATGACTTTTGTCTAAATTTGCCCAGCAGTAGTTCAAATGTATCTTATGAAGAGAAAAAAAATCTCATTAATTTCAGTTTTATACTAATGCTTCTTCCCTATTCCAGTAATACATTTGATTCCTAATCAACATCCATATGTATTTTAATATGTCTCACATACTAGCACTCTCTCTTGGTTTTCTGTTCTGGTTTTTCTCCATTTCAGTTCCAAAATTAATGGTCTCCATCTAATCAGCATCAGAGGAAATTATGCAGTTCATTCAAAAGTTACATTAGGCAACTTTATTGTAACAAATGTTAATGTTGGTTAGTCCAGTCTCACAGAAGTAACTTTTCAGTTGGGAAAAATAAAGGTCCATTATTCCCTTTTCCCCTGACTCCTTAAGTAGAGTTGTTTTGTCACAATGTATTCAAATGCCAGCTATGGAGGGATGCTTTTTTAAAAAAAACTGTACTGCAGTAGTAGACTGAGTTATTAAGAATCTGCTATTATAAATCAATATAACTTGTTTTCTTTTCAGGAAAATATGCACAAGTGACCAATAATCCAGAAAATGACGGGTGCATTAACGCAGTTCTCCTTGTATAGTGACACTGCAGCTATGGATGTGCAAACTTTTCACACACACATGTGCATCTGCAGACTTCGGATAAAATAATTTATTTCAGAACAGCCATCTCTGAAGACAAAGGACTGTTGCAGAACTGACTTTTCTCCAAATATTATCAGAAATAAAATAAATTTTTTGATTAGCATTGTAAATTGACTTACAAAACTTGAACTTATCTTAGAAAACAGAATATCTGTATTCCTTGTTTCTTGCATATAGTAACATCCTTAACTCTCACTTTTTCCAGTATTAAGAAAGTAGGGTACGTATGGACAAATAATAGCTGAAACTAATTTTCTGCGCCAGATTTCACGTAGATGGAACACAAGTTGAAATATAAGAATATTCCAACTTGGCAAATATCAAGGAGCATCTTTGTAGTGAGAAAGCATATTCATAGTATATTGCAGGTCATTAGTTCCAGGGAAAATTATCGAGGCATGCAAGATATTCTTAACCTGGGAATGTGTGGGTGACTGAACTGTAACCTCATTTTATATATGTTAAAATATTTTCTGTATTAGCCTAGTGCATACCATCTTCACGTTCTAAGATTTTTACTTGAAGTGGTTTTTTTCTTCATATATAGTCAAATGTTAATGAAACTTTGAAGTTACTATGTTTGCTGCTATCAATGTAGAATCAGAACTCCCTCCAAGAGGAAGTGTGATTAGAAGCTTATTACCCTTTCCTCTGTAATTTGGGATTAGTGTCAATCCTATCACCATTGCAGAGTTCCCCAAATCTTCAGAATACAAGGAGGGTTGACCTACTCAAGATTGGATAGGTTAGAATTAAAAGCCTGGAATATTAATAATATAGATTAGTCGTCCAATTATTGAACTGCATGTCTACCGGTAATGTTAGTGCAGCCAATCTTAACGTCCAGTATGTATAGCATGTTAATTATATTAATTTCATTTTGTGATCAAGAATGTAGGGTTCTTTTTTCTCCTGCTTTTCTGCTTTCCACAAATTTCTGATGGTTTATAGAAACACGGAATTCAAATTTATTATTATAGGTAGACTTTTGCTGCATATATCTGTCATTCAGGACTTGGTGGAGCAAAGTTTCTGTTGAACCTAGGGATCAGATTTCCCAGCTACAATGTAAAAACTAGTGATCCCTTGTTCTATTGGCCTACTATGTCTAATTAGGTTCCATCAAGTTGTACTGGGCCATGGGTGTCTGGATAAATGCTCATCCATCCTGACTAAAGAAAGGAATTTTTCAAGCTAGTAAGTGCTATAAGAAAATTACAAATGTAAGTTTAACCAATTAGAAACAATACATACCATAAGGGAGAAACAACATATTAATTTAAGAAAGAATTGTATTAAAACATTTTTATCAACAATACAACTCATGAATGAAGGCAAACATGTGTTCCAGGTTAATGTTGCAGGAACCAATGTGGGGCGGTCACTGGGACCAGAGGTTTTGTCTTCCGAGCTTTCGGACTCGTGCTGGAACCCATTTCAAGAAAAGCTCAGAAGACAAAATCTCTGGTCCCAGTGACCAACCCAGATTGGATCCTGCAACGATAATTTCCTTAAAAGCATAGGCTGTAATGATGATGAAAAATGAATGTTGTACTGCAAGTTTATACTGCATTACAATTTCATGACTAAGAGATGTGAATAAACAAAAATAAACCACAATATTTCTATTGAGCTAAAAGGTAAACATTTTATTAAATTTATGTAGAAGATTCTACATACTTCATGCAATAGGTACAGTAAAACAGTTCATGAAATCATACTTGAAAATGATAACATGCATGAAATGTAAAATACACCTTGACACTGGAAGCAGTAAGAACCTGAATAAATGATGAGATTCTAGAAAACTATATAGTTAAAAACAAAGTTGAGTTCACATGCTACTTTAAATATAAAACTAAAAACAGATGAATAATACTGCTTTTTAATTTTGTTTTGTACAGTATCTTTTTCATTTCTGCTATGAACTTTTATCAAAAGCTGGTCTATTTTGTTCTTTGCAGACCCAATAATTATTTTCACCTATTTAAGCTAAACAATATAATAATCCTTTTGAGAACATGTTCCTTTGTGAAGCTGCACAGCACTGCACATTTTAATTTGGCTTTACAAATTTGTTTTTAACTAATTTCTCAGCATAATTTAAGTGTTTTACTTCAATAACTGCTGCAATGTAAAAAAGTTACAAGACGATAGTTGATAAGACACCAATAGCATATTACTGAAGCAAGATTACCTAATTCCAGTGAGGGGAAAAAAATAAGTTTTAGTTACATAATACATAGAAATATTTGCTATCATAACAAATCAGTATTTAATTTAATTCTTCCAGACCTTGCTACAGGCATCGTATATTTTTATAAACAATATGTGCTCCAAGCGATAGTTTTGAATAATTTCAGCTAGTAGATTACTTTCTGCGGAACTTTTTTCTTGTACATACAAGGGAAAATATCTTTTTGGTTTATAGACAAAACAATGAAAAAGTTTTCTGGGGTGACCACAGATGTCAAAATTACCTTTCCTTAAGATTTTATAACTGAATATCCTAAAAAAGTTAAGCTCAGCTCTCATGTAAGAAATAACTTTGCAATTAAATGTTATATAGACCAATTTAATTTACAGACTGAGAATAATTTTTTTTATTTAAATGTACAAGTCAAATTATGGTTTGGGAAAAACACTGATTTAAAACACATTTAGTATAGTATTAAATCACCACCAGTCCAGAAGCCATAATAGAAATACACACTTAACCACTTCACAAAACATTGTTTTGTTTTACAGAATGAGAATTATCAAACCCCTTGGCATGTTTATCTAGCTCAATACATCTAACATTCATAGCTATGGTTCCTTTCAAAAACTGTTATCTAACCTTGTCCATCTCGAAAACTTCAGCACTAAGTAGCAAAAAACCTTAAATTGTCAAAATGTCTTATTTTACCCAAAAAAAAGGGGGGGAGTACAAGATACAAGCTTCTTTATGTGCTTCATAGAAAGTGTTTATATTAGAACCAAGATTTCTGCACAAATTCTAATACACGATATACAAAATGTACACTGGTAGAAAAATGTGTATCGTGCTGAAAATCCAAACAACTTGGCAACTCCATAAACCTCATAAAGCCAAAACTTCTCATGACACACTTTAAAACAAAAACAAAAACAAAAATTCAGCATCTCTATGTCAAGAGGAGTTATTTTTTTAAAAAGCAATCAACTGAGCTATTACTGAGAAGCCTAAGAGCTTTTACAGCTAGGAGCCAGAACAGACCAATTCTGAAAAGAGTAAAATGAACACTTTCACGTATTTTCAAATGAATATTTTTACTAGTATATACTCAAACTGAAGACTAAATATGCTTCAAACCAAAGACTGAATCTGTCCAACTGCTAATACTTTGAAAATGATAACCGTAAATTCTTATGATGGTCTAATCTACAATTACTCTGAAGTAATTTACTATGTATGTATTAGGAGCTTTATTCACTGGCAAAATAATCAGGAGTACTTCAACACTGATTGAAGATTCAGGTTTAGCTAGGATCATATAATCTTTAACCTGGGTATATAGTATCCATAGAAAAGTTGAAGGGTATTTTAAACTAAGCACAAATAATATCAAGTATTTTATATTTCTGTTTAAAACAGGCTTGTAAATTTACTACAAAATAATAGTAACAGGATTTAGGGAAAAAAACCATAATTATATATACCTATCCCTGATAAGCTTGAAAAAGCATCAAGGTGTGCAATTACCGTAACCATTTAGGGATGAAGAAAATGCCTGACACTTCACAAATTATCTGTTATTGTACACGAGGGATTACAAATAACCACTTGAGGCAGCTTAACAATACAATTGTTAAGGTGGCATCTGTTAGGACTTTCAACATCTCCAAAATAATTGGTTTATAGTTACTGTCCCCACTTTAAATTCTGGTGTCTTTATGATTATTGTTTAGCAAAAGTAGACATTTACTTCCATATCAATTCAGTTCCTTTTATATAGTGGTTAAACAACAAAATAAGTAACAGACTATAAAAAACTGGGAATGATTCCAGTATTTAAATACATGTGTATCCTAAAGTGGTATGTAATTTTACAGCTTTTTCTGTGAAGAAACAAACACAATGAAAATGGCAATCATTCCCATTTATAGGTTGACCACAATTCTGTTCAAATTAGTTTTCCTTTTTTCTTAGGTGGGCCTTTGTATCCTTTAGCCTTTCTTCGTAAGGTCCGCCTGTCTACTACGGGCACCTCAATTTCTGCTTCTTCTGAACTGCTGTCAGCAGCTCTCTCAGACACTGGCTCAGCTGACTCTTCAGACTGTTCATCCATTTGGTTCTTTTGTCCCTCAGAATGTTGTTGGTAAGAGATGTCCTCCAATTCAACCATCATCAGAGCCCCCTGACCCAGAGCAATGGGGGCTTCTGGGGAGTCAGATCCGCCCTCTTCGCTTTGCTCTTCCAAGGAAGAGGTGGTGTTGGGAGAGACATTTTCAGAAATGGCATCTTCTGGAACTTCACCTGCTACTGAGTTTGAAAGACCATTATTAGAAGATTCTTTTTCTGCTGCTGAAACAGGATCGGCATTTCCTCTTTTCCTTTGTGTAACCTGCTCCTCTTCTGCTGGCAGCTCAGAATCTGCCAAATTCTCAACCTAAGGAAGAAAGCAAGCACCACTGTAAGTCAAATATATATAGAACACTACAAAACTCTGCAATATCATAAGATGTTGCTTTTAATCCAAAGAATATTTCTTTGCTTCATTCATTCTCACAATGCTTCTGCCATAGATTTCTATTAGGTATATTAGCTTAAAGCTAAAATATGTTCTCTAAAATGTTCACTTTAAGGCTCAACCAGAGAAAAATTAGGTCAATAGTAAAGATGAGACAAGTCTGAAGTCTCCATATAAAACCCAGCATGGACGAAGAAGCAGAGATGGATGGAACAGTCATTTTCAAATGGAAGTGTTAAATGTGGGTAAACTGAAATGCAAACACTGTTTCATTTGTTAAAGCAGAACATTTCCCAAATGAATTTCCATTCAATATACTGCAATGTTTAAAATGAGTACGTAAGAAGAAAAGCAGATGAAATAACTACAAGAAAAGTGAAGAGAGACAAAGAAAACTGTGATAAAGATAACTGGGAGATCATACTGCAACCTAAATAAGAACTTAAAATTCAAAGTTTTGGAAGAACAAAATAAAATCCATTGCCTGGTATTAAAAGCTATTAAATTAGGGGCCAAGTGTAAAATAGTCTGAAAACATTGTTTTAACATTCCCTCACCTTATCTGAAATATTGTCATCACTGTCTTCAGTGGATTTTCCTGAAGAATCAAGGATTAGTGGGACAAGTAAAGTTAAAGTTGCTTCTTCTGAACTGTCTGATTGTAACTTTGACTCTCCATCCAGAACTTCATTTGTTGTTGATCCTTCAGTCACTATTGATACCTTGATAGCATTTTCCATTATCTCTCCATTAATTGGCTCTATATCTGTTTCCTAAAAAAAAAAAACCCACATGAGCACATCGAAGTGATGCATCCATATAGAATCAACCAGAAGAATTTAGACACACACATTCACACTGTAGTACTGAAGACTTCTCCACTGAGAGTGGAGACAGCAGCCATGCTTGGGTAGTGACTCGTACGATCAGATTGGAGGACTGAGCCTGTAAAATTTGACAAGTCCCGCCTCTGTTGCCAGGGATCCCAGCTTTTGGCTCAGTCCTTCAGACTGGACAGTCGTGTGGTTTTCTGTCTCTGACAATTTTACTAATTTTCCTATTTCTCTTTTTCAGATGGTTGATATCAAGGTTTGACTCGGATTTCTCTTGGACTATTCTTTCGTGAGTGTGACTAATTCTTTGTCCCTTTTTACCTCAGCAACCAGAGTTGCTGGGTTGCTAGGGAGTGGGGGTGAAAAGGAATTCCCTCTTCCCTTTCTATATTAATTTAAAAAAAAAAAAAAAAAAAAAAAAAACCTTTCCCTGACTGAAGGGATCGTGGAGCTTCGCGCCCCTTCCTTCTTTGGTCAATCCCTTACCTCACCTTAAATATATTGTGATAGCTGGAGGAGTGTTTGTGCTCCCTACATTGTGTCCCTCTAGTCACAGAGCTCCACATTATAGCCTGGAAGCCATTTTGTCTCATTTACTGCCATTGAATTGTAAAGGAGATTTACCATCTCCAGCCTGTGTCTTGGCTTGCCTTATTATCTGATTGCCCTTTTCGCAGCATTTCCACTTATTTAATTGATTTGAAGGCTCTGAGGCAGTTTCGTTCTTGCGGAGTTTTGCACCCCCGTTTTTGATTGACAGGCGGCCATTTTGAGTAGGCATTCACCCGAAATCGCTGCGGAGCCTCGCACTCCCCTTTTTGATTGACAGGTGGCCATTTTGAATGATCATCCACTCAGAATCGCTGCAGAGCCTCGCGCCCCCTTATTTGATTGACAGGCGGCCATTTTGGATAGCAATTTACTTGGAATCGCTGCTGAGCCCCTGTTGCCAGGGGATTTCAGCGTTAGAGTGTATTTTATTCATATCTCAGCAGAGGCACATTGAAACTGGTCAGTTTCAAAGGTTAGTGGAGCTTTCCGCTCCCGGGGATGATCCAAAGTCACCGTCTTAGCCGGTGGGATCCTAACAATTAAATAATGATACCAGCTGTGGAGCTTTGCGCTTCCATATCGATTCTCCCAACAACTATAGCCATAAACTTTTCCATTTGAGGAGTTGTCTCACTCCCTGATTCTTGCCGCTTGTCGGCAGTTTTAACAAAGTGCAGAGTTGTCCTGCTATTTTAAACTGCCTCACAGCTGATTGAAGCTAATTAACATTTTCGCTATGAGGTTTGACTCTCTCTGGCTATCTCCGTTTATCAGAGCTTTTAGCAGAAGCTACTTTCCCCCTAATAGGCTGTTAAAGCGCTACTGCTGCTTAGCCTAACTGCCTCTCAGCTGATTGAATTTGGGGCTGGTTGTGAAGTAGAGTTTCACACTCCCAAAGGCTTGCCGCTTGTCGGCGTTTTTTACAAACAGGCTTACTGCTTATTAACTGACTGAGACTAATTGTGTGTAGTCTCTTTACTCTGACAGTGCTTTAATTATTTGGCCAAATTAGACTATTTAAAACAGATCTACCTTCATTTGAGACTGAGCAGTGCTTCAGTTTTTGACAGTTACGACAGCTTGAGCTCTTAGGTGACTGCTCGGCCGCCATTTTGTTTAAGGGCAAGGGCACAGTTTTTTTCTATCAAGCCTCCAATCCTTAGTTCTATGCCGGCTATAAGCATATTCTGCCCTTATAAACTAAGATGCCACATCTGGCTACTGGAAATTGAGTTGGCTATATAATTTCAATCTATAACACATTTATACTGATTTAAACTACCTTTAAATTTACATTACCCTGTTACAGGGCTGATAAAATTTTAGGGGTGTCCTTTCAACCCTATTGATTGATTAAGGCCAGACATGCCTAAGGCTCTGGCCAAGTCAAAACATGGCCGTAGTGCCACAGTGCGTGAGCAGTCAGTGGCTTCTAAGATGGAAGCTTCCAAGCATACACAAGGGGAAGGAGTAGCAATTAAGCCTTGTTCTGAGGCTCCTCCTAAGAGCAAAGAGAAGCTACTAAGAAAACCTATTGTCAAAGACAAAGGCACTGGTTCTGCCCCATTGGCTATAACCATTGGGTCTCCAGGAGAATGTAGACATGCCTCCTCTCTGACCCCGGATCAGATGTCAATGCAAGATTTCCCACTATTAGTTGAGTCATCTGATTTATGGGGATCTCCTCCTCCTGTTCGGAGTAACAATAATGTGGAGTCTAGCGCTCCTATCCTAATGGTGGCACAGTTTGTGGATAGCTAGGTCTGACAGCTTTCAGAGTTAGAGTGTTTTCTTTCATACCTGATTCTTCGGATTTGACCTTGGATGTCATACTTGGCTATTCTTTTGTTTGCTGGACATTCTGTGAACCTTTTTACCTCAGGAAGCCTCAGATTACAATTCTGAGGTCTTGTTGAAGCCATTCTGCCATTCCATCCTTTCATCGAACTGATAAGTTTCTGTACATTGGTGGAGCTTTCCGCTCCCATGAGTGGCTCAAAATCACCGGCTTTGCAGGTGGAGCCCTGCATTTTAAACAGTGGCTTCTCTTTGTGGAGTCTTGCACTCCCCACGGTCTTTGGGCAGCCATTTTGTCACTGCCAGCCACATAACTGTTAGTGGAGTTTTTCGCGCTCCCTGCCTCTCGCCGCTTGTCGGCCTTTCACCGAGGCGTGGCTTTTCTCCAGCAGACTCAATAGAACCACTTCTCAGCTGTTTGAGACTAGCTGCCGGGTTCTGAGTGGAGTCTTTGCGCTCCCTAACTATCACCACTTGTCGGTTCTTTTCCTCCAGGCTCTGATTCTTTCCTGCGGAAATGAACAGAGCTCTGCCCGCTGTCACTATTAACCGCTTCTCAGCTGATTGACCTTGCCGCCGGCTTCGAAGTGGAGTTTTCGCGCTCCCTGTGGTTTGCCGCTTGTGGTCACATCACAAGGGCTTGGTGAACTGTAAAATTGCCCTGATTTATTCCTGCTCAGCTCTTTGATTTCTCTTACCGGTCTGCATCTCAGCTGTTTGACATTGCTGATCTGCTCAGTAACGGAGCTTGGTGATCCCTGAGTTGGCAGTTTTGGCTGCCATTTTGTTTAGGGGTGAGGTGACACGTTGAGCTTCTCTCAGGCCTCCAGTCTTTCTGGCTGTCCCTGCTACCCTGGCCTAACCTTGCCTTCAGCCCTTTTGGCAGACATTGCTGCACCTTACAGGCTTGGAGTTAATTGCCTTCTCCTTTCTCTGTTGGTGCCTTGCATATTTATCACAGGCTGCATCTAGAATTTGACATTCCCCTGATACAGGACTGCCTTGCTTAACACGGAATCTATTTTCCACTCCTTGGGTGTTATATGGCCTATCATGCCTAAGGTTCTGGCCAAGTTAAAACATGGCCACCAGGCCACAGTAAGGGAGCAGTCAGTTGCTTCCAAGCATAAAGATGCCAAGCACATGCAAGGGGATGGAGTATCCATTAAACCTCAGTCTAAGTTTTCTGCTAGACGCAAAGAAAAGCTTCTACGGAAGCCTGTAGTCAAGGCCAAGGACAGTGGTTCTACATCATCTATAACAGCCAGGGTTTCTCCAGGGGAACATAGACGTGACCCCTCTCCGACCCCAGATCAGATGTTGCTGCTAGACTTCCTGGTGTCAGTTGAGTCAGCTGATTTATTGGGATCTCCCCCGTCTGTGGGGTATCAATGCTGTGGAGTCTAGCACTCCAGCTGGGTGGGGGGTTTATCCACCTGTATCTTATACTCTGGTTTGAGCCTCTATGGAGGCCAGCCCAGCCCGAGACCATGATTCTACCCCTTTACATCCAGAGGACATTCAATGTAGATTGCAGCAATGGTGCAACAATCCCTGTCGGCTCATTCTTTTTCGACTGCCAGACCAATTACAGTGTATTTGGTCCATTCGGACCATTTGGCTTCGCGCAGATGGTGGCGGTCTCCAGCCAGTTCTAGGGGCTGCCTTTTCTTTGAACCGCAATGGTTGGTGATTACGACTGATGCCAGCACGCTTGGCTGGGGAGCCCACTGTCTAGATCAGGTGGCCCAGGGCACTTGGTCGACACCCGAGTCATCATTAAACATCAACTGGCTCGAGTTACATGCAGTTTATTTAGCCCTTCGAGCCTTTCAACATCTAGTGTCCGGATCTCACGTCTTAGTTCTTACAGATAATGTGACGGCAAAGGCGCACATTAATCGCCAAGGGGGCACCAGGTCCAGAGCCCTTATACGGGAGGCCAAGAGATTGGGTTTCTGGGCGGAGCACCGGCTGGCTTCTTTGAGGGCAGAACACATATCAGGGGAATCGAATATATGCGCAGACTGGATAAGCTGACAACTAATTGATCACGCAGAGTGGCGTCTGAATCCTCGTTTGTTCCAGGTCCTGTCCTCCCAGTTCGGCACTCCAATGGTCGATTTGTTCGCATCGCCAATGAACTCCCAACTTCCACGATTTTTCACGAGATTTCCAGCACACCAGGCGGAGGCTGGGGATGCTCTGCGCTCCCGTTGGCCCCACGGGTTGCTTTATACATTCCCCCCAATTTCCCTCATCCCGAGGGTTCTGCAGAAACTCATACAGGAACAAGCGGAGTTGCTCCTTCTAGCTCCACACTGGCCGCGAAGGTCGTGGTTTGCCGACCTTCTGCAGTCGCCAGTGCCTTCCCCCTGGAGACTTCCCTGCCCGTGGATTGCCTATCTCAAGGGGCGATACTGCTCCCGGATCCCCAGTGGTTGCAACTGACAGTTTGGAGATTGAGTGGGACGCGCTGCTGCGTGACAATCTCCCGGCCACGGTCATAAAGACCATTCAGGTGTCTAGGTAAATACGGACCGTATTTACTCAGCCACTTGGCGGGCATTTTCTACTTGGTGTAACCTGCATGGCGTTTCTCCCATCCGGGCCTCCATAGTTCAAGTTCTCATGTTTTTGCAGGACGGCTTAGACAAGGGTCTCTCTCCCAATACTCTCCGACGACAGGTGGAGGCTCTCACTTCAGTCCTAACCTACAGCTCCCTTCCTTCGTTGTCACAGGAGCCTTTGATTCGTCGCTTCCTCAGAGGAGCCTCTAATTTATGCCTGCTGGTGTTACATAGGTACCCTACTTGGGACCTTTCTATTGTTTTGACTTCTCTCACAGATGCACCGTACAAGCTATTGAAATCTACCAGCCTGCGGCTTCTGTCTTGCAAAGTGGCCTTCCTAGTGGCGATTATGACAGCTAGGACGATTTCAGAAATTGCAGCGTTATCGATGAGTATCGACTTATGTGTCTTCCATGCAGATTGTGTGGTCCTAAGGCTAGATCCTACTTTTGTTCCTAAAACTAACTCTGTGTTTCACCACATAGGAACTTATTTTTCCAGACTTTTGCCCTCACCCAACCACTTTGTCAGGCAAGAAGTGGCACAAGTTGGATGTCCGGAGGGCTCTCCGGATATACCTCAACAGAACGGCAGCGATCCGGCATTCGGAGTCCTTGTTTGTCTCCTTCCTTCCTGTTTCCTTAGGTTCTAAGGTATCCTCATCTACCATCAGTCGCTGGATTCGCCAGACGATTGCTACTGCCTACGAGCTTCGCTCTTCTCCTTTACTGGCAAGGTTGATGGCGCATTCAACATGCAGCGCAGCAACATCCGCGGCCTGGGCCATGCAAGCGTCATGAGTGGACATTTGCAGAGCAGCAACCTGGACTTCTCCTTCTCCTTTTGTTAAGCGTTATAAGTTGGACAGGTTTGCCCCACAGGAGGCAGCCTTTGAACATAATGTGTTACAAAGGGTTATTGCGGGAGGAGAGTCATTGGCCCAGACTGAGCCCTCCCTTGCCTAACACTGTGAACTTGGGTATGTCCCAAGCATGGCTGCTGTCTCCACTCTCAATGGAGAAGGGGCGTTGGTCCTACCTGACACGCTCCTTCTCATTGGGTGGAGACAGCAGCCATCCCCACCCGTTTTCAATCTGGGTCTTTGGGGTATTGTTTTTTTCTCTTTCTGGTACTCTTCACAAATGTCTCTGCCACACGACGAGCCTGTTTCCTTCCGTCTTCACCAAAAGCTGGGATCCCTGGCAACAGAGGCGGGACTTGTCAAATTTTACAGGCTCAGTCCTCCAATCTGATCGTACGAGTCACTACCCAAGCATGGCTGCTGTCTCCACCCAATGAGAAGGAGCGTGTCAGGTAGGACCAACGCCCCTTCTCTGAATAATTATTTCTTGAATGCACTCTCTTATTTCCACTATATCCAAAATGAGAGGGGTGAAAACAATTTCAAGGATGACTGCAGCTCTGTACCTAAGTCCTTTTTGAATCTTAAGAGTTTTGTAAAGTCTTCTCAACTATTACTTTCTGTATAGACAGCCAAGGCCAATGTTAAATAAAAGCTATCATAATACTTTATTTCTAATAATGGATAGAAATAGGTTTACCAATCAATCTGGCTTCTGTCATGAGCCAAAGACTATATCCTGTGACTTAAGGAACATCATCCAGGTGAAAGAGAGATTACCATAAACTAAAGAAAGAGTACAGTATATTGTATGACCTATTTCTCTGCCAGGAAGAATTATCAGTTTCTCCACAGTTTGTTGACTTGATCCTAGGTATCACTCATTTTAACTGAACTCCTACATTTTTGCTCATAGGGCAGAGGTGGGATTCAGCCGGTTCTGTCTGGTTCGGGCGAACCGATAGTGGTGACTCTGAGAGGCTCCACCCGCCCACCCAGACGTAATGTGCAAGTATTGCACATGCACGGAAAACCATGTGCATGCGCAAAAGAGGCACCTGCGAGCTTACATTTGCAAACCGGTAGGGAAGGTAAGTAAATTTCACCTCTGTCCTAGGGCACTGAAAAAATTAAACAACAAAAACAAAGCATAATTAGTGAAAATAATTAACTTCAAGTGAAAAGACCTGGCTAAAAAAAATGGCTTGATTCCTTTTCTAAATTTGGAATGGGGGAACTTCTATCAGAAGTTGTGTTCTGATATATCTTCTGGTTGGACAATAATCCAGGCAAAGGCTCTTTCCTGTGTACCCAACTGACTCAGAAACAGAAAGCATTTTTAAGAAGGACTCTCCTGCTGATTGATGTATCTGTGTAGTTACTTGATCTTTAACCACTGTTCAAAAAGGATGTCAACAAAGAAAGATCACACTTTGCAAAACTGAGTATTATTATTTGTATCTTTCTTTCAACTTTCTTTGCAGGTCAGTCCCCTCCTTTTCCCCCTCTCCATCCTGTATATCTTTATACTCCTAGTTGCTAAACTTTATGGCAAGGAATGCCACTTTTTAAAAATGGTTTGTGATCTTATGGAAGACAATTTGTCACAGAGAGAGGATTAAAAATACTAGTAATAAATAATATGTATTTTTAAAAGTATCATTGTACCTCTCTATCATCTTGCTTCTCTGATGGAATACACTGCTGGAGTGTTTCTTGAACTGATTGTTTTGAATTCTCCACTAACTTTTCCTGCTCACTGTCCATTACTTTTTCTTCCATCTCATCTATCAATTCTTCTGAATGTTCAGATACCTGAGTAATAGGATCCAATCTATGCAATAAAAGAAACAACAAAAATACATGTAAAACAGCCAATAGCAACTGAGCGATACTGAAATGCACATAACTTGATTTTTCGGACTGTATTAAGTTATATACATTATTTACTCGCAAAGAACAATTGTTGGCACCTTCAGATCTGCTGGGTTATTCAAGCATGCAGGAAATATACTAAGAACAAATTATTTGGAGACCAGGAAATCCAAGAATACAATTTTATAACACAACACTAACAATACCTACCTAGTGTCTTCCATCCTCAATTTGGGATGGATTATGATTTACAGTCATCACAGATGAAATATCTAGTCTAATATTTAAACTCTTTTTGTTTCTTCCCAATCCTGAGCTTTTTGTAACGTCTTTCCTGGTGAAGAACTTTAAAACTTGCAAGACTGCTTTTTACTACTTTGATTGAACTTCATAAAAGGTATTGCCCTGCTACTGATGCTAAGTTTTATGCAGCTTTACATTCATTTACTGAATTTTACAGTTTAACAGTAATAAATATATATTATTCAGTATGAAATGACATACTGTCTTTCTGTACAAATACGTGCAAGGCATATTCAGAGATTTTTCATTTGTAATTTTATTAAATCACATCCCGTACCTGTTTCCTGATGTTTGAGAAGTATTTACATCTTCAGCTTCAGAAACTCCAGGTTCTTGAATTCTTTTCCCCAACTTTGGACGTTTCAGATGATTGCTTCGTGATCGAGTAGGAATTGGTAAAGCAGTAAGTTCTGGAGAAGGAAAAACCACCTCAAAACTTAACTTTGTATACAAATAATACCAAGATATACGACAAATTCAAAATATATAATTGCTTTAACAATGTGTTACTAATGCCTAGGAGGTATTTTTACCGCACTCTGTAAAGCAGTTAAACATCTGATGTGCCAATTTTGAAGTATTTCAATCTGATGTCTGGAGGCTGTTTGTATCTGTATGGAGTGGAACAGATTTTGATTCAAAACTAAGTTGATGTGGCTGTTTGGCCCTCCGTGTCAGGGATATTACCATCCTTGGTCTTGAATGGGACTGCACTTCCCATTCAAGACCGGTGCACAACTATGGGGTCTTTCTGGACTTGTTAAAAAAACAAGTAGCAGCTGTGGCTGGGAGGACCCCTGCACAAGTACAAATTGTGTGCCAGTTTTGCCCTTTCTTTGATGGAGAGAGAGAGGGAGAGGGAGAGGGAGAGGGAGAGGGAGAGAGTGTCAGTTGAGGGCTTCTAATCATATGCATTCATGAACAAAGTGAATAATAGAAGAAGAATCTTTTCCAAAAAAGATGCATACTGCATTTTTTTTTTACCTTCAGAAGTACCTTCGTATACATCAAAGCCATCTTTATTTGTATGGAGATCAACCTAAAACAGGACGACTTAAGTTACATAAAACCAAAACTCTTTAAAATAAACCACTGCTAATAGATTTCTTCCATTCATTCAGCTACATATCCATACCAATTTTTTACTTAACAAAACATCAATATAAAAAATTAAAATAAATACAGAATTTAAAGAGAGAAGAAAAAGGGGGGAAAACCTGGAAATTTAACATATATGAGAGAACTGAAGGAGAAATACAAAATGTTTAAGCTATATTCCACCAGAACCCTCATCTGTACAGTCCAAGATAATCTATTAGGAAAACATTGTTAATATAGCTAAGTGAGGTTCAATCTTTTTTCCTCTATGCTTTTTATAGATTTGAATGGTGGAGAGGGATTAAAGGCTTCGATCTCATTTTTACTGCTGAAAATTGAAAAATCACACCTATAAAATTGCAATTTCCCGATGATTTTTGACAGTGGAATTTGGAGGAATGTCACACACTGCTGAAACTGAATTAAAATCAGGATGCATCTGTAATTGTCTTCTGCCTTTTTCTGCCTGCTTACCCCAGTGCTACACAATCTGAGGCCTTCTTTGCAGCCTGTAAACAGAAGCAGCACTAAACATGACTGCTTCAAGTCTAATTTCAAATGTATACTTCATTTACACAACAATATTATAAACTCTGGGTAGTGGACAAAGCAATGCAAGTTACATTGGATATTTTCCCACTTCAGTAAAAACATTAAGGATTTTGAAAAGGCAAATTTAATAAAACCATAGGCGTAATATAAAACACAGAGCAGGTACTAAATAATTCAAAGGAAGCTATTTTATACCTACACTTAAATGTGTTTCACTGGGGTCAACTGCCTGTTCATGCGATGGGCTGTTATCTGTGGAAGAGTGCAGAAACCGTTCCTCATTCTGGGAAGTGTTAGCTTCTATTTGCAAGGCTTCTTGTTCATAGGAAAAAAAAATTAAAAATGCAACCATTACAAAATATTATCCCGCAGTATCTGTTAATAATAAATTTCTTTTTTGCCTTTTTCTGTGGGCAGACTTAAGCTAACTAAAAGAGCAGGCTCTGTTTTCTTTTCCACTAGAACCATTACAGAACTTCCATTTGGACAACTGTAGAAAAGTTTACAGTAGTCCTTACAGCACAGAACTCGGAGCCTATCTGGAAGGCCGGAATGGGACAACTCGCTGTGGCCCTCTTGCCATGGGACAACTCACTACAGGACACCTCACCGCGGGTTCCCATGGCAACGGTGAGTTAGCCACAGCAGGTTGTCCTAGACCTGGAAGCTGGGACTTTGGTTTTTACAGCAACGCAATAATCTTCCACCACCAAATCAATCAATCTACCATCAATCTACCTTTGAGTTTTAAACTTTCTCTCTGCAAAACAGTAGCTATAGGTGTTCGCTGGTGCCAGTGGCCTATGCCTTCAACTTCCCACAGAAGGTCACGATCCCCTGGATACCTTTCGAAGTACTTCTGGCAAGCTGAGCAAGATAAATAGAACTCATTCAGTAAACCATCCATCATACAGATTTGTTTTTATTTTATTTTACAAGCTTCCCACTCTCTCCCCCGAAATATGGAATTTTAGCATTTATTTTAGCATTTGCTTTAAAGGGAACATTAAAAACCTAACTGTGTCACAAACAGAAGCACAAGAGCACTCTACAGTTTGTAGAGAACAGGTACATGCAGTACACCTATCCTACTTGAATACAACTGCTTTAAAAGCCACAGATAGCTCTTGGACTGCTAAATGTTTGCCTTGCATAATATACCAATGAAAGCAGTGCTGAATATAAGCAATTCAATACCTAGGATGTTAAAACTCAGGGAATCCTTTAAAAATGTTCTTAAAAGATTACAGGCCTTACCTAAATTTCTCAGATATTTGTGTCTTGTGTGTATAAGGATGAACTTGAAGCTAAAATAAATGATAGTAGCAAGAATGCAAAAAAAATATGTTCTGATAACTGAGATATATAATAAGAGCCTTGGTAGTACAGGGGTTTAAGGCACCCTGTTATTAAGCTGGTTATTAAGACCAGCTGCCTGCAATTACTGCAGGGTTCGAATCTCGCCAAGGCTCAAGGTTGACTCAGCCTTCCATCCTTTCTAAGGTAGGTGAAATGAGGACCCAGTTTGTGGGGGCAATAAGCTGACTTTGTATAAATATACAAAAGGATGAAGGCTATTGCTGAGCACATTGTAAGCCGCCCTGAGTCTTCGGAGAAGGGCGGCATATAAATCAAATTAAATATATATATATATATATGCAATATCCGTTCAGAATATCAAACTCTATTCCTAAATTGCAAACAGTGAACATTCTGAAGTATCTTGCAGGTCTTACCAGTACGCATGAAAGATGTCAGAGGGAAACGCAAACCAAGGGCATCTTCTGTGAAAGAATCCACAAAATCTTCCAGCATCAGAAGGCCAAAGTCTTTGTTCTGATGCTTCTTCCTCACAAACATTGTGTCCAGAACAGGAAGCTGGTAGCTCTGAGTAAGAAAAGCACTACAAATGCTCCCTGCAAACACAACAGCCAATTCTAATTAGCATTTCAGAAGAATCATTTTTACATACCAGAGGCATTTTATTTCCCTAAAATAAGTTTTCAAATATACATACCAAGGGCTCTGGGCAACAATAATAAAATGCATAAAATCTATAAAAGCCTTAAACTTTAAAAGACTGATAAAAATATGTTTTTGAACTTTAATGACAATAGTTGGCTCCATAATATTGGCCATGCAATCCATCACCCTCTTCTAAAGTCCATCACATTCTTTTAGATCATTATAAGGGGATCTTTTGTCCTCTCCATTGGACCTGTCCTGATTATTGTGCATGTAACTCAAGCAAAATCCAAAGAACAGTTTGTAGGCCTAATGAGCATATTAAGTTTTTAATTGGCTCTTCACATTCTTCAAATTAGAATAAGCTAAAAGGTCAGGTTATGCATTATGAAATCATAGTTGTTGTTTTTTTAAAAAAATCCTTTTATACCCAGGAACAAAATCTTAGTCTTTCCTAAACTTTGTCAAGAATCTGGGGGATGGAAGGAGTGTGTTATCTTCTTATTGCTACCATAGCTATTCCAGAACAGGCATTATCAAACTGATGACATGAATACAGGTGACAACCCTAAATGCAATCAGGGTTGGCAAACTAGGAGCAAGTAGTATGAAAGCAACCTACTATGGAATTTGATCCTCACTGCTCCAGCCTGCAAGTAACAAAGGAGCAGGTTAGGCAAAACTGCTCTCTACTAATAGGAATGTACAATTCCAAAAATAGGCAAATCACCCTCTAACCTGTCTAAAAACTCTGCACAAAATTATTCAAGAAAGTCCAAATATCAGCAATCAAAACAAAAGAATCCCTTGCCATCTGCTCTTTACCCTCCCCCAAGGTTTGGCAAGTCATGGCACAAGGGAGAGCCATCTGGCCAAATATCAAGTTTCTAAGAGCTGTCAAGGCCATATAATTTGTTGCACTTGGCAACTGATTTCCTTAGAAATTAAGAGAGGGAGGGAGGGAGGAAGAGAGAGGAAGAGAGAACAAGCAATCATTACTAATTAACCAAGGTTCTTTAGACATTCATTACATGGCCTTTTTAAAACTATTGCAGTTTTAAACTGAACAAAGGAGGATTGTTTTCTGCTTAGAATAAGAAAGAAGAAAGGGAAGTCTGCATTGAGGCCCTCAATTAAAATAGATGTATTCTCCATGTGAGAATAGCAATAAAGGAACAAAGTCACTGGTGATCTGTCCTATCCCTTAGCAGTCTGTAAAGACAGGGAAATGAGCCTATAACTTTAAATAGGATTTAATTTAAGATGTCAAGAATTAGCAAAAGAGTTGGTAACATTAAATCTCACTCAACTGTGAGTTCATACTGATTAATAATTAAAAAAAAGATAAATTATATAATTAACTGATTTATACTAAAATGTTGGATTTATATTAAACAATTATAATGTTACATAACCAACCAATGTTGAGGATAGATATAAAAATAGATGACAATGGGAAGGGGTATAATATAGATAGAAGGGAAAAATTGAATTTGATTAGGATTAAGATTAGAGATGAGAATGAAGGGTACTATCGGTTTTTTTAAAAAAAAATAGATAAGGAATACCTATGGCAAAAAGGAAATATAGAAATTGTAAATTTAATTGAAATGACTAAATATTGTTTAAATTTGTGAACTGGCCAAATACTCTGTTCAAAGAAAATACATTGTATGTTTGTATGTGTGTTTGTCTAAAAAAACTAAAAAACTTTTATAAAAAAAAATCTCACTCAACTGGATAAATTAAATCTGGGTAAGTAGATTTGAGAGCTGAGGATGTAACCCTGGCTTATTCTGTAAGAATTTAATTTCCTTCTCTAATTTCCTTTTTTCATTGATTTCCAACTTTGAGTGTCTATATTTGGCATTGAGAACTGAAATAAACTTATATTCTCATAATGTGCATAATGCTACCAGCATATCTCAGTCTGAACCAACATGATTAATCACAGATACAGTGCTGAGAAGCTTGACATCCATGCTGAAACTGCTCTGAAGATATAGAATCTTGAATGGAAGCCCAAAACCTTCCATAAACTTTTGTCAGATTGTAAGACAAATGCTATATCAATGCACAGCTGCAGTAAAAGCTTGGGTTGGAGCCAATAAAATGAAACTCATCAAGATAAGTGTAAACATTTTTTTTCTGAACTAGAAAACTTTAAAGATCACCTCTTTCTATAAATTTATTTTGTTCTAAAGCTGTTTCCTAGGCTCCTAGAACTATATGATTTCTATAAAGACAATTTTATGCTACCTTCAGGGATAGTAGTCAGGTTGATAAGCAGTTTCACCAACAGCAATCCCCACCATCATCACTAATAACCACAACCAGCTCCTAAAGAATTTTTTTTCTGAATAGGTAAAAGTATTCCTTGCCATTTACAAAATAAAAATGCAAGGGAATTGTGGACATAGACTAGTTCTTTGCAAGTGAAGTTAAAAGATGGACTTTTTTTTTTTGGCCTCACATTAAATTACTTTTTCCATTTGAAAGAATAGTCTTACCTGGCAGTTTAATAGAATAGAAACCAATAGCCATTCCTTTCTTCCACAGAATTTTTGCATAATCGTGGCTACCATGGCAAAGGAACGGAACCTCATTTTTCTCAATTTCTTGTTTACGATAAATTATTCTGTTGAGCACATAAAGAACCACTCTCTCCCCTATTGTTTTTGCCTACAAAAATACATATGAATTAGAAAACATAGCCAGAAGGCTCATATAGTTAAAATCCACATTTATACTTCCAAAAGAATGAAAGCAAAATGGGGTTTTATTTTTTATTATGGTTTTAGTTTTTCGTTAATTTGCTTACATTTCTAAAGCACCTCAAACAGTTTAGGAGAAAGTAAATATACATGTCTATTAATAAAATAAAAATGAGGAATGGATAAAAACCTAGTAGGGCACTCCTGTATTATGAAGTTGATTTAAAGTGGCTCAAAAATGAGGATACAGAAAGAAAACATATAAATCCTATAATGTTGGGATCAGACTGCTAATTCTTCAGAGCTTGGAATTCATTGAAGTAAAATAATTTGAGTGAAGTTATCTTGGATTATACAGTAAAACAGTAAGAAACAGCTGAAGTGCAAATCCCAGGAGTCCTAGCCTGCATGACCAATTATGAGAGATGCTAGAAATATAAAACAGTTGCAGTCATAAATCCTTATTTGAGGCATTGTCCATATTATAAACTATTCATCACTACAATTCAAAATGCTTGACACAGCTTAAAGTGTATACACAGGCAATTCTATTCCAAGTAAATCAGACTGCACACTTGAATAAGCCAGACATTTCTTTTATTTATGCTAAGATTTAGATTTCATTATCAAACACTTTACTAGAGGTACAACTTTATTTACCCGTAGAAGTCCTTCTCTAGAAGGAGATGATGTTCTCAAAATATCATCGATAGTCCACCACTGATCAGCCAGAAACAAGGCAACAGCTCAAAGAGGAAAAGAATGTAAAGTAAGAATGTGTTCTGTCTTTCAATTCTAATTATGTCTAGTAAATAAATATAATTGGTTGTAGAGATATATATTTCACATTAGTTTTATTCTTAATTATAATACTAAATGTATGTTCAGTAAATGCATTTCTTAAAAAGCTGGGATCGGTTCCATGTTAGAAGCAGTCACTTCCCAGCTAGGTTATCCCATCATATGTTCATTTTCAAAAGATCTGTGGGTTCTACATGCAATCAATGATTGAATCAAGTCTTTCAAACATTAGAAAACTGGAAGGGAGAAGCTATTCGCACCAAAAGGCTTTTTGCCCAGTTTCAATTGCCCCCCCCCCCCGTTTTATCATGATTTCTACAGTATTTCTAAACCCTTCTTATCAAAAGCAACATACAACATGGGAACCGAAAAAAGAGTAACTCTGATCAAAAAAGTACACAGTCACAATTCAAAATGTAAGAGAAACCTGCAAGTGAATCCTCCGGTGCAAATAAAGCAAGGACTTTGTGTCTTTCTTCTCCGCCATAAAGGGGGATGAAGCCTACAGTTGACAAACAAATTGGAACCTAAGAGAGAGAGAGAGAGAGAAAGTTCATCATTGTTACTTCTATTCATTTGGATTTGGAAATTGCTGACACAGTTCATTCTTGAACCAAGAGACATTAAAGAGAGAGACTCATGCCCTGGTTATCAAACTAATGCAATTCTTTCTATGTGGAGCTGTCCTTGAAGGAAGTGGTAGCTGGTACATAATACAGTGGTTGCTTTTGGACTGGCATTAGTCAATTTAGCAGAATATTATCTACTTTAGCTGCCAGTAGGCTTCTATGCTGAAGTCAAGATGCTGGTCATCATATGTATGATTCACTTTGACTTAAGAGCATGGGTGTCAAACTCAATCGCATTACATGACATCACGTGATGTATCGTGACGTTTTTTGCCTTTGAGTAGTCGGGGGGGATGTAGCCTGTGCATGATGCATCCGGCCCCGGGCCCACCAGTTCGACACTCGACTTAGAGCTTTGTTCCATTCAGGAGCAACAATATGCCCACCCTATACAATCTAACTGGGAAAGAATGCTCTAGTTACCCATCCTCAAAAGACTTGGGGGTGGGGGGTAAGAGCTGGGACCCAAGAATGATACTCTGAGCAGTAGCCCCTTTGTGGGGAAAAGCTTCCCTGCAGAGATCAGATGCGCCCCTGATGATTCTGATGATTTTTTTTATGACAAAATGGTGAAATCAGTCCATTAAATGACAAAAATATGCCTAACACTAGCAATAATTTATTAACAGTATTTACTAGCTTTAACTGGTTTTGTTTATATAAATATTTCATAGTTATTTATCATAAGCTTCCTCGAGTTGTAAAGATGGCTGGCATACATATTATTAAATATTAAATAAAGTAAATTGAATAAATAAATAAAACAAATCATTCAGATGTATAATGGAAACAATAATAAGTTCAGTTGCCATAACCTTCCATCATTTAAAGGCTAAGATAAAATGGCAAAAGAACACACAAAATAGTAAGCACTGGCCTTTTGTTTTGCTGAATCAATTATTAAGGACTCAAGGCTGCAATCTAAAAATCAAAGTCCAGTTGTTAAACTTCTGAAACAGCAATAACAGAAGACTGTGGAATTCTTGATGCTCTCTGAGCTTGGTTATTTGTTTGCAGACATTTCATTACTCAACTAGGTAACTTCATCAGTGCTAGAAGGTGTGTAGATTGCTCCCTATTTATATTCAGTTGCTTGCCCTTCTAGTGTTGGTAGGACTAGTTTCACCACAAGTAGTTGAAGAAACTATTTAGTAGTTTCTTAATAAGAGCATTGTTTATCTTTTGATATTTTTTTTGCCTGGAGTTGATGGCTGCTGGAGAGGATGTGTTCTAGTTATTTTTACTTCCTTCTTAGTTTTCTTACTGTCACTTTTGAATGGCATGTAAAAATGGTTTAAGACCCCTCACCAACACTGGCAGAGCAAGCTATTGCATATAAATCAGTGGTGAAATCCAATTTTTTTTACTACCAGTTCTGTGGGGGTGGCTTGGTGGGCATGGCAGGGGAAGGATACTGAAAAATCTCCATTCCCACCCCATTCCTGAGGGAAGGATATTGCAAAATCTCCATTCTCACCCCACTCTGGGGCCAGCCAAAGGTGGCATTTGCCGGTTCTCCGAACTACTCAAAATTTCCGACACTGATTCTCCAGAACCTGCTGGATTTCACCCCTGATATAAACAGAGAGCAAACCACATATTCAACAGCACTAATGATGTTATCTGGTCAAGTAATGACATGTCTGCAAGCAAACAACCAAGCTCAGAGTGCACCAAGGATTTCACAGTTCAGTGTTATGCTACATATATTCTCTTGTACTGGAGATTATTTGTTGAGTTTTTTCTTCCTAGTCTAGATGGTGACTAGCAAGCTAGCAGTGAGTGCTCATTACCTATCTGACAACACAGTTTCAGGAATCTGGAAAGGGATTTTGAAAACCATCTAAAATTATACAAATAAAGAATATCTGTAAACATTAAAATGAAATAGCAATGATTCCAATCTTACCTTGATATTATCAACAAGAGAGAGATATTCTGGATTTTCAGGATCGCCACATCTTAGTTCAGATAGATAATCCTCTCCAGAATTCTCAAGATCTTCATGACTGTAGTTATCCAGGAGATCCACAGGGAAGGCCATTCCTTAGGGAGAGTTCACAAACACATACAGAATTATTACTATAATCATTTCATTTTAGGAATCCAAATGGGATTTTTAAAAGTTATATGTACATAGGAGAAGCCCACCCACAAACTGATAGTCTCCAGATGTTTAGGAACTGCAACACATTTAACAATTTCAGGCTAGGATTTGAAACTTAGTTCCAACACATCCTCAAGGTGCGAAATTGGAGAAAACTACTTATAAATAAAACAATTGCATACCATCCTACTCATTTTTTGTATCCACTCAGAACATATTATCTAAAGTATACATACAGCAGCTCATGAGGATATACATGTAGTCCTCAGTTTACAAAAGCAATTGGGACTGGAATGGCCATTGCTAAGGAACACGATCATAAAACACATCATGTTACCATACCACTTAGGGACAGGAGTTTCAGCAGTGCTGGCTACGATCATTAAGCGAGGATCGTGCAGGTCATTAAGTGAGAACACTTAAAATAAACTCTAAACTCTTTAATTCTCCTTGCGCAAGGAATTAAATCTATCTTCAAATCTTATTCTATCAGAATGTATCTCTATATCAGGCAGAGAAAACATTTAACTCACACTATCCAACCCAATTTTCAACCAACATATACTGTATCTATGACAGGGACTATCAGATCAAAATTAACAACTGAAGCCAATGCAAAATGCAAACATAGAGCTGAAAAAATTGTACTAAGCTTCATTAATACAAGAAAAATAAAATATCCTCTATATAAAAATGCATTTGTTATCTTTAAAAAAATTTAGTAACATAATTTAAGCTTGGGGGAAAGTCAGTTCTTTTGTTATTATGCAATTGATAATAATCTTTATTTAAATCTATATTCTCCCTACTTCCATTCTTGAACTTGGAAAGCAAAATCAAATGTTTCCGCTAATGCCCAAGACTTATAGTGCAAAATTAGTTACTATGTTTGTTTAATTTGCAAGCTCTGAAAGAGGACATTAAAAAAGACCTGTGCCCTGTTTCAAGATACTGCAGCTAGCTCTACATGCTCTCAGATAACCCACTCCATCTTTTTGGAGCTCTTTTAGATCCTGCCTTTCCTTTAAGGAGCTCATAGCAGGGTATATGAAATTGTCTTTCTCTGTTTCCTCACCAACAACAACCAAGCCAGTTGACAGTAGTTTGCAAAAAGCCTTCAATGAGTTCCAGTTAAATGGAGAGTGGGACTGGAAAGTCCCACCACAACATTTTAATTACTGCATCAGTAATTGTATTATTCTGTATATAAATTTGATTATAACAATCTATATACCATATTTTTCGGAGTATAAGACACACCTACCTTTTTTGGTGAGGAAAAGAAGAAAAAGAAATCTCCCTCTGCCTCTGAGCAATTTTTTGTAGCAAACAGCCTGCTTTACTTTCATTTTTGTTTTCAGCATAGCTTGATTAGCACAAGGGAAAAAAAATCTGCTCCAGTAATTTACCTCTTTGCAGCAAGCAGCAGAGCCCTGCGCAAAACAGCTGAGAGAAAATCAGCTGAGGTTGGGAAGCCGATCCAATCAACTTGTGCTAATTAGGCTGTGCTGAAGCTGAAAGGAAATGTTTCTTTTTGCTGTTTGCTTGCAAGGAGGTAACTGCTGCGAGGCAGAGGCCAAAGGGTGGGGGCCAGTGGGTGGGCGGGGCTACATTCAGTGTATAAGACGCACCTAAATTTTCACCCCCTTTTGGGGGGGAAAGGTGCTCTTATACTCTGAAAAATATGGTACCCTAAGGAGATTGGGGAATGGTATCATACTTTGAAAAATCAAAGTAACAACACATGTATTTTGCAACCTTCCATCTAGATATTTGCTTTAAAATAATTTCCTGAAATTTGATAATTTAACAAAAAATGGATTAAGGTTCAAATTTTCTAGCAAAGTAATTATGTTTTTCAAAATTACAGCAAGAGAAAAATGTTACGAAGTTTGCTCTTCACCCTGACACTTATTGTATAGGTTACAACAAAATAACACAACATTGTTTCACATGAAGAAGCAACATGCATATTCTCCTGCTCTCCATTGTTGTTTATTTGAAATACATTATATTATTTTGTGTACTGTTTTCTTAGAAACAAAATGAAATAACAAAATATAAACAAAAGAATGTGCAGCAACAGGCACATGGCAGTTACTATCAAACACACAAAAGATAAAAATGCCTGCACAAAGGATGAACCCTAAAAAATTAAGAGCTATAGTGGCCCAATGCTTAGAATATAATATTGCTGCAGGCTAGCTTGCTAGGAGTTCAATTCCTTCAATCCTGACCAGCTCAAGGTTGATTCAGCCTTCCATCCTTCCGAAGTCAATAAAACGAAGACCCAGATTGTTGGGGGCAATATGCTGACTCTATAAACCTCTTAGAGAAGGCTGTAAAGCACTGTGAAGATTTATATAAATCTAAGTGCTATTGCTATTGCTGTTAAGAAATGCAAGCTAAGGCAGGGACCTCCAAAATCAGAGTTCTAAAAAGTCCACCATAACGTAGAAGGCCCACCTGTTGGATTGACTGCCTGAGCCTCAGACTAACATCCTTTAAAGGACTTCAGTAGAAATATAAAAGGCTGGGTTCACACATACCAGGAGAGCATTTCAAACTATGGACCGGTTAATCTAGAGACAGGAAATGCAATGGGACTTTTTGCCATAACAAAAATAACAAACAAAATGTGCCAATGATGTTCCAGATGATATGCACTACATTTCTAAAAAAGTTACTAAGCCAGGATTAAAGAGGAAATTGTAAACTGGATGAACTTTCACACACACACACACACACACAAAAATGCTTTGCTCTTCTCCCAAACAGCTTACAGCTAAAGTACACTGTCAAAAAAATAAAGGGAACCCAAGCAGAAGACATCCGAGATCTGAATGAATGAAATAGCCTTATTAAATACTTTGTTCGTTGCATACAGTAGTTTTGTGTTCCCTTTAGTTGTTTGAGCAGTGTATAAACTACTGTATGTAAAAAACAAAATATTTACTAAGGCTATTTCATTCATTCAGATCTCGGATGTCTCCTGCTTTGTTCTCTTTATTTTTTTTAGCAGTATACAATTGACAAGTAACTTTTCATCTAGCCATCATATATTTTAAAGGTATTCTCTATTAATTAAAGTTTCCTAAAATCGTTAACAAATTAAGGAACAGAAACCAATTTAAAGATCACAATTTAAAACACAAGAAATAAAAATAAGTATTTTAACAAAAAGGAGCAGAACATCACAGCTGAAGTTTCTATCATGATTGTTGACTGACTCAAAAAAGGACAATCATCAGTCACTACATAAAGTTTCTGGTCATTCTTATTTTAAGAATAGAACACGAATAGAATAGAAGAATAGAATATTCTTCTATTTAAGAATAGAATGAAAGAGAGGGAGAGGGGAGAGAGAGAGGGTTGGGGTAGTAGGGAGGGAGAGAGAGAGAGAGAGAGAGAGAGAGAGAGAGAGAGAAAATATGAATGAGAATGAATTACAATCATTTTCAATTACTGAAACGTTCAGGAAGAAGAAATGAAGTAGAAGTTACCAATCTGCATTCCAGAAGTTCAGTATAAAGATCTTCCTTTTTGCCGTTTCTTTCATGGACCACCCCCTCAAAAAAGGCAAAAATACTGAAGATTTCAGAATACAAAATTATCCGTTGGATTTATTGCGATGGTTCTTTGTCTACAGAGAGCATCCTACAATGGGAATCTCCCTCCTAATAGCCCTGGAGGCAAAGCTAGAAAAATGTGCTGTTTTCATACAGTGTAGCCAGGAAATTCTATAATGGGACATACCAAAGCTATTCCTAAGGGTGGAATTTTACAATTGTAAGGCCCCTAATCCCCACTGGGAACTAATTTCTGTAATACTCTCCCTGGCTGAATGGAACCTGCAATTTATGAAAGTTAAATTTATATGCTTTATAAAGGAGAATATGGAGGACTACCGTAGTTGCTGTCTGCCAGAGGCATTTAAGTGGAGGACAGCTAATGTGGTTATCCTAGTCAAAAGCACCAAAAGTTTTTGTGGGGTGGGCTTATTTGGAGTCTCATATGTTAATTTGATGCAAACCCTGATCCACCTGGAGATTATGATTGGTAAGGCTTTGAAGCCTAGGTAGGGATATCGGAGGACAGAAGGGCGGATCCCTGGTGAAAAACAACTTCACTTTACGTTATGAAAGTTGGGTCTAACACAGAATGATGGTGTCCAGCTGAATGATGCTGAACACTTTCTTTGCTGAGAGGACCCATGCTTTCTGATATCCACTTGAAAGGGTTCTGGCTACTAGAAACAGTACTTTGTAAGTCAGATGCTCTAAGACACGGGTGTCAACTCAAGGCCCGGGGGCCGGATCCAGCCTGCAGGGTACTTAGATCTGGCCCGCAGGACTGCCCTGGAAAGGACAACCCGCAGTGCTTCTGCCAGCAAAAATGGGCTCCCAAGCTCCGTTTTCACTGGCAGAGGGTTGCAGGAGGCCATTTCAACTGAAAATGGAGCTCGGGAGCCTTTTTTTGCTGGCAGACCACTCAGGTCACCATAAGCACTCCCAACAGGAGTGAGTTGAGCTGGCCACTCCCACCCTGCCCACGCCCCCTGTCCCCCCCCCCGGGGTCAAACACAACCCTGATGCAGCCCCCAATAAATTGAGTTTGACATCCCTACTCTAAGATTAACCTGTCTAAAATTTCAAACAAGTCTTAAATTAGGGTTTGAAGTACTAGCTGAAGATCCCATAACTGATAGTGAGTAGATAGCAAATCATCAAATAGGGAGATCACAGCTCAGGAAGATCCTGACAGGAGATAATTTCCTTGACTCCCACTACTGAAATCTAAGAGAGGTCTGAGACTTGTCTATTGAGGATGCTTGGTTGGAGTCCCTTGCTGAGGCTTTTCTATAGTGGTAGAAACTAAGGTGAAATTTATTTTCCTTGGCCCATCTGCAGAAACTCACACTGTTGACAGTTTCTCCCTT